CAAGATACTATCTCTCAGCTCTAGGCATTTTCTCTGACTTGCCCCCATGCCTATAATGCTTTCCCTCTTCCACTCTGCTAGTTGACTTCTCTGGCTTCCTTTAAGTCTCAATTAAAATCCCATTTTTTACTAGAAGCCTTCCTTAACCCTTCTTAATTCTAGTGCTTTCCCTATGTTAACTATTTCCTATTAATCATATATATATATGTATATGTATATATACATATACATATATGTGTGTGTGTATACTTACATATATACATACATACATATATATGTACATACACATATATTTTTCTTTGCATGCTTTCTTTTTTTTTTTAAGAGTGTAAGTTCCTTGAGAGTAGGGGTTGTCTTTTCCCTCTTTTTCTATCCCTAGGGCTTAGCAGCAGTGCTTAGAACATAGTGGGTGCATAATAAACATTTATGGGTTGATTGACTAAAACATAGACAATGTTAATTTGTGGTTCTCTGTTTCTATTTGATTTTGGTTTGTCCTAATAACAAGGCCAAATAAAAATCCTTTGGGTGATGGGAAGGGAGGGTTCAAACCTCTGATTTCATTGGTATAAGAAATTCCCAATGATGAAATTTTTTACCAATGCTAATGTGTAGCTCTTCTTCAGTTTATATTTTTTAAATGTTGATTGAGGCACTGAGAGGTTAAATGACTAATATGTGTGAGAGGTGGGACTTGTACCTGAATTTTTTGATTATGAGGCTATCTCCATCCATTATGCAATCCTGCCTTTTCATTAATCCATGGTTGTGGATTTATGCAGTGCTTTAAGTTTTCAGAGCTAAGATCAGCTTCCATAAGCAAGAAGAAAGAACAATAATAAAAGATATGGTATACAGTTAAGAAATTGAATCCTGAATTATCAAAACAAGCTGTTAAATTTCTTTTAAAAATTGGAAATGGATGACAGAAATGACATAGGCATTATAATAATAATAATTTAATTCAGAAGTTCAGTCAATATAAATTAATTACTACAAGAATAAAAAAAAATCAGAAAACACCTTAGTCAGCAAACATTCGACTGATTTGCCAAATGGAGAGAAATGGCTGCCAAAAGCAACATCAAATTACAATATTAACTTGTTTGTAAAATCTAACAAAGAAAGATGATAGTGAGCAGTATTGTCTCATAAAATAGAGTAGTAGAGGGTAAAACCAGTCTAAAGAAAGCTTAGCAAGATATCAACTAAGCCAAGCCATCCTAAAGGCATTCAAGGGTGAAAATGGAAAGAGAACTACAAAGAAAAATGTAAAAGATTTGTAAAAGTAACTTCAACAATCTCTTTTCGCCATCAAGGATACTAGAATCACTCCATTTAGATATTACGGTTTCTGAGGTGTTTACAAAGGAAGTAAAAATGGCAGTAAAGAGAACAAAGACAGATTTGGATTAGGTATGTACAGAGGAGATCAGAAGGTGATATAGTCACCAGGGCAATGAGGAACTGACTTACAAAGGAAAGGAAGATAATAAAGGCATGGGAGAAAAAGGCAGACCTTATTTTTTTTTAAATAGTGATTAAGAAAACTTCAACAACTATCAACTTTTATGTATATTTATTTTCTCATCTATACAAAATCTTCATGATGGCCATCCATATACAAATTGAGGGCATCCTTGATGAGGGTATTAGTAAATAATACTAATTATTTTTGCAAGTGATCACTGATGGACTGCATTTTTACCATCTTACAACTGACTGAAAGATATAGAAAATATAAGATTATGTTTTCCTTATTACATATGGATTATGAAGAAGTATTCCACTCAGTTGAACAAAATGCTGCCTTATGTTCTCTTTTTCAGCAAGATATCTCTCATGAATATATCAAAATAACCTAGGAAGTTTTGGAAATATAACTATAGAAACAATCCTGTTCAATGACCTTCTAACAATAAGCATCAGGTGAGATACAAAAGACAAAGATGTTTACTCAGCAAAAGTATTTGCCACTGTAATGGAGGAGATCCATCACAAAATTTAGGCTGAGGACGAATTTTCTATGGATGGTGAGGTCCTCCAATTCTTCCTATTTTCAGATGACACTGTGTTGGTTGTATCATGCTCCAAGACATTGTAGAGCTTCTTGAAGGAGATCTGTAATCTCACAAAGGAGTTTGGCCTCTACATCCACAGAAGAAAGACCACACAGATGATGAATGTCTATCGCCCAGATTTCAATCTGTATCTAAATGGATATCCCATAGAACTTTCCCAACATTATGTACCAGATGTCTCAAAAGTCTTAGTGCAGCTTGAATCTTCAAACTGCACTAAGACTTTTGGGACTCCCCATATATTTGGGACAAACAACAAATTTGGACAATAAGCTGGGCCCAGAATTGAACAGGAAGAGAGTGGGCTGGATTGATTTGTGGAAAGTACAAAGCATTTTTACTGATTCCATAAAAGCAGAGGCCTATCTTTGCAATACAATAATTTTATTGATGCAGCTTTGGAATGGGTTTCTTTAGGCATCCTTCTTTTTTCCTACAGCCCCATCCTTATATACTTACTCTGGCAAGGGAAGAACTCCTTGACTCACACTGAGCCCTCTAGATCGTAAATATTCTTGATTCCCAAATTACTTTAAGACAACATCTTCAATTTTTCACTGAACTATAATTTCACACTTTTAAAGACTCTCAGATTGGGAAGAGACATTCAAGGTCAGCTGTAGGAGCCTAAAACAGCCTCAATAAGGAAACATATGGTTTCCTAGGATGGCCTATTCTACTTTTGGACTATTTGATTAGGAAATATTTCCTTACTTTGGTCCAAAGACCACTTGTCTACTCAACTTCAAATACCTGAAGACAATTATGATGATCCTTTCTCCTCTTCCAAGTTTTCTCTCCTCCAGATTAAAAATAAATTATTTATTAATATTATCATTGTCATTATTATTAGTAGTAGTATTTTTACCAATCCTTGTACGGTATGTTTTTGAGTCCCCTCACCATGCTACCCACCCTACTTCTTTTGTGCTTCAGTTTATAGATGCCCTTCTACACTATAACACCCAGAACTGTGTGTTGTCATATCTTCTACGTGGTGTAAACAAGGTAAAAGACATGTACTCTAACCTATCTTGTTCTAGGAATTATGACTCTTTCAATGCAGCATAAGATGACGGTAGCCTCTCTAGTTGCATGTCACTTTTTAACTCATATTGAACTTGCAAGCCACTAAAATCTCTAGGGATTATTCACATGGATTATTGTTTAGCCATTCCTTTTCCATTCTGGACTTGCGTATATTAGTAGATATTTTGAAACCAAATATGAGATTTTATATATACCCTTCTTAAGTATCTTGGTGTAGGACATGGAGAGCTATCTTGGAGTCAGGAGGACCAGGGTTTCCGTCCTGTTTCTGGCACATACTGGTGTATGATCTTGGGCAAATCACTTAACTTCTCATTGCTCTAGGCAACTATCTAAGACTGTGTTGCAGAGAGGATGCTGATCCAGATTGGCAGAGGTCCTTATCCCTATCCCTAAATTTACTTCTTGTTTTATCTTGTTGAGAAATTTTTTAAAGAACCTGAATGTGTTAACTAATGTGTCAATTATTTCTCCAGATTTTGTATCAACTACATATTTAAGGGGCATGCTACCTATGCTCATCCAAGCCATTGATAAGAATGTTGGAAAGTACGGGACCAAGAATAGATCCCTTCACTAGTGACCTACCTCTTGGGTGACATCAGTAATCCTCAGGTCTGGTCACCGAACAGGTTTAGAATCCCCAAACTGTATTACGATCCAGCCCACATAGCATCACCTTTTAACTTTATCACAGGGTTCTGGAAAAAGTGTCTAATATATTTCAAAGTACTGGACATGTGTGAGTGATTATTATACCACGAGGATTTGTCAAATGACATTGATATCCAGGCATATTGTGTTTATGGTATTCCCATGATTCATCAGTCTAGTAAACCTATCATAAAAAAGAAAATGAGGTTAGTCTGGCATTATTCTTGATGAACCTATGCTGCCTTGAAGTCATCATTTCCTTGCCACAATCTCACAAACCATCCTTTAAAGTCATCCTTTCTGTATTTTTGCCAGGAATCACTGTTAAGCTTGGTGCTTCTAGTTTTCAGAACACACTTTCTCCCTTTTTTTTTTTTAAAGAAGTCAAACATCCATGCTATAGTAGCTCTTGCAAGAGAGTTAATGACAATTAATTGGAAAGAATCCTGATGAATCATCCCATGGTCTCTCCTTTCTCCACCTCTTGCAGGTTATAGAAGTGGTAGAAAGTTGGGATGAAAGGAGGTGGATGTGGGGGAGAAAGTTACTTTGCGTGGCTGTAGTCAAATCAGATAAATAATCTAGAATGTTTTCTCCTTTTTCAAATAGCTCACAGGTGACAGGATTTTCACCTTAAATTGACCAAAATTACTTTCATTCTACTTCTTAGGAAGCCTGTATTGCTGCAGGCAATCTGGATTAGATCAGTCCGTAGTCTTTCCCTACCCCCAACCCCCCTCATTTTCAAGGTGTCTCCCGATCTGGGGACTGACATAAAGAATTATTGTATCATCTATGTGAAATTGTATATATTAAAAATAATAGTAACCGTAATGCAGTTGATTACCTCCAATTCCTACCTAAGCACACATCAATCAGGCTAGGGAGAAAAAACTACCAGTTGGATTGAGCCGTCCATGCCTAAAGCCATTTCCTTTCTTTGCCGTTTGTTCTCAGCAGCTCCGATCTCCATTACTTCCTATAGTCTTAAAAGCAAAGACATACAGAGGAAGAAGTGGAGAAGGCAAGCAGAGCAGAAACGCACTTCAACGGGTTTCTGGCCCAGCTCCTACTTAAAGGGAAAGGTGGTGTAGTGAAGGGGAGGCAGGCAGGCAAACAGTCGGCGGGCGGCAGCGGCAGCTGCAGGCACGCCAACCAGAACCAGCACCTTTGGACGCTCCGCTCTTCCACGTGACTATTCTCTTCCCTCCTCTCCTCCTCCCTGCCCCGGGCTGTCGCGCGCACAGTCCAGGGCGTCTCAAGCTCCTGCACGCGCTCGCTTTACCAGTCCTGGGGAAAAGGGAGCGAGCGAGCGAGTGAAGGAAAGAACGAACGGAGAGAGCTGCTGGAGCTGTTCCTGCAAAGCCAGCCGAAGAGGGTGGCTGGGAGGGAGGGGCACTAGGACAGGAGGTCGCGGCATCAGGAGCAGCGCTGTTCTGAATTTTCTATGTGATGAAGGTTCATTGCATTTCTCCTCCGTTTGCTGCTAGCTGACACTCAACTGCACCCAGTGCGCACCAGAGAGGAGACGCCGCGGTGCTGTGACCTTGGCCGAGGAGGTAAATAGAAGGTGGTGAGAGGGGAGGAGGGAGAGGAAGTAGAGGAGCCCTCCCTGTTACCCCCACCCCCCACCCTTTTCCCCAATCTGACACTATGTGAAGCGTGTACGTTTGCAGTGCATTGGGAGGCGGCTGCTGCTGAGTCTATAGCTTTCTCGCTGGGGCGGCTGTTGCCGCCTTCTGTGGCGCTGTCCACGGTTCTGAAAGCGCTGTCTTGGGCTTTGGCGGCTTCATTGCAGGGCAAACAGACTCGCCTGCCATTTGCTGCTTCCGTGATCGAGTCAAGCAAAGAGATTTGGGGGTTGGTTGTCTCCTGCTTTGTTGATTGCTCTGACAGTTAGGTGGTTTCTACTGATAATTGCCCAGGTAGCCATCGGAATTGTTTTCTCCTCCTTGGTTGCCGAATCCTGACTGTGGCTGAGGCACATTCTAATGTTTTCCTGCAAAGATTTAACTAGACCATGCTCCGACTTCTTTTTAAAGTAGTGTGGGGCAAAAAAGAGCAGATAGCTGTCACTGAGATAAAGTGAAACTAGGTGACCAGGACAAGCAGAAATGTGTTGTATTTCTCTCCCTGTAGGAGCCCCAGGTGTAAACAGAGAAAATACACGTGCTAGTGAATTACACAGTAATATGCACCTCTTATTTATATGTCTAGGGTAGACCAGACACCTGAGAAGCTGTATGGGGGGGGGGCGGCGGTGGAAAGGGTGATGGTTTATATTGCCCTACAGACCTTTTTGGAAAATAAAATCAAGTGGAAATGCAACTAGTTGTAATGGAAAAAAAAGATCCTTCTTTTCAGTACTTAGATGAAAGTGTTATTTTTTTTTATAATATGAGATTCAATACTTCTTCAAGTGATTCCTGTTTTTTTAAAAGTCTTAATTAAAATAGGAATCAGCTGAACATGTATGATCCAAAGGTGGTAGCTATTCATAATCACTAAGGTTACTTGAAGCTTGCTTCTTCTGTATGTTGTAGCTATATTAATATTATAGTTCATTAAGTTTTCATTGTATGCTGTCTTTTCTTCTACTACAGTGCCAGAGTAGACATATTCTAAAGTCAGCTTTTGGATGAATGATTTTTTAAAAAATTAAGATAGAAAGGGTCAAATAAGCACCACTTGTGAATCATAGAAGTCTCATTGGGATCTCTCTTACTTTTTTCAGTGGCAAGTTGATAATTTCATTATTTAAGAGCCTTTCTGATTTGGGGTGACATGGCACAGGGAAATAATTATGGACAGAGCAGCAATGGGGTGGCTGATGAATCGCCCAACATGCTTGTGTACAGAAAGGTAAGGATTTCTTCTTTTTCTTGGATAAAGGGAGACTTCTGACATTTGTCTAATTCTTTTTTTTTGTTTGATCTTCTCAGTAAGGAGTGTAAGTAAATGAAATAAATACTAGGAATGTGAAAAAATATGATACATAAAAGTAATAGGTATTATTCAATAATAATTCTATTAATACAAAGATGAAATAAATATCATTAGACAGTCATTCTTTATTAGATAAGTTTTCCTGAAGATTTTACATAATTTGATCTACTGATCTGTTATGATAGCTGCAGATTCTTGCATCCCAACTTTTTCTTGGGAGGCACACATGATTATTATTAAATAATCATCTAACAGTTATTTTATCTCTGCTATGATTAACCTAAACCTTTCAAATTTTAGCAAATGCATAGTACTTTCAATATTTACCAATATTTTAATTCCAGGAATAAATATACACTAGGCTGCAGCTTTATGGTGATGAATTAAAGTGTAAAATTTCTGGCATCTATGTGAATGTGAAGATTAGTTATTTTTATTTACTAAGCCAACTAATCCTTGTACTTGATATTAGCTTGAATCCAGTGTTCATTTTGTCCTTGTGTTAATTTTATCCTGTACGTAGAAATTATTTTCTATGACCCTGAATCTATTATGAAAAACAAAAAGAACTTTTGTATATCAAAATAGATTTGATAGTTCTACTCATTCTTTAGGAATGATATCAGCAACAAACTTCTAGACCTTGAACTACAATGATGAAAATGTGTTTGACAACCATGTACATTTGCAAATAGTTGCTTAGATGACTTCATTTCAACTATAACCAACAATCTTAATAAAATAAGGGAACAATATTTAAGTCCTCCATCCAGTATGTTTACCATTGCATTTTATACTGGTGTTATTTTAGAAATATTTTATCTGGAGTACTTACTCTGGGAAATGTCATAAGATGTAGAACTCCCATTAACAAAGGTAAAGAGGTATGGTTAACTTGAACATAAGAATAATTTTAAGAGTCTAAGCAGTGCAAGAGAGTATAAGCACAGTTTATTGAGGCATTATCAAAGATGAGTACAAATGAGAATTTGAAAACTACATCTAGCCTACATTTGAATTTGCCTTTTAGCTCATGCCCAATACAAAGTGGAAAAGTTTTTGGAAATAGTTATAATTGTTTTTCTAATACAGAGATATATAGATGTTATGGCAGTTAATGAACTGCTTTTTTTCTCCAGTCTTTCAAACATTATCATACTTTATACCTGGTATATATGTTTAGGCTGGAGGTAGGAACAGATGAATATACAAAGTAAGAGGGTGAAATTGAGAAATAATTTGTCTCAATCTGGATAAATGAAGCAAAGAAAATCCACTTGGAATTTAAATAGTTCATATTGTATGCCCCCATCCTCTTAGCCCATTTTTCTGTGTGCTAGGTAGAGATATGCTTTAGGTAATAAAAAACCTTTGTTGAAGGTGTGTTACAGAACATCTTTGAAAAATTTCTCTTCCTTCCTTATTTTCTTGTTTCCTTTTTTTCCTTCCTTCCTTCCTTTCATGGCTCAACTAAGGCTAGCACTTTAAAGAGTACCTGAACTATGTAATATTCTCAAGGGTATTAGGCATGTAGAATACAAAAGTCTGGACTTTAAAACTTAAGGCTTTAAAGTTGGCTAAAAAAAGTTACTTTTTGGGGACTGAAATAGATTCATTTTTTTGTCTTCCTTTGGGAAATTAAAGGTCCAAACACTCAGCAATGTAAAGTTTATCAATTTAAAAAAGATAATGAATGTCTCAGATATCTTTTCCCATAAAAATATTACATAGTGAAAAGATATGAAGATAGTTTGAGAATTAATTGCATATTAATTTTAAATTAAACATGCATTATTTATATCATCTCCTATGGTACTATATCTTAATGGATAGAAACTGATGAATTCTGAGAGAGTAGAATGAAATCTCATTCTTTCAAACTTTCATAAATAATATAGGATTATAACCATCATGACCCACCTCCTTCATTGACTGGCTTCTTTAATTCATTGTTTAAGTTTAATGGTATGCAGAATTTAATTTTTACAAGTGTTTTACTTTCTTTTTAGTAGTCAGAGGAGGAACCTCATTTCATATGTGGTAATCTTAATCACTAATATTTATGGAATTTCTCTGGTTGTCTAGTGGTATATACATGTGTGTTTTATATGTGATTTGCATCACAACTTCCAATTGTTAGATAATATTAAATAAGACAAAATAAAAACAGATTCTGGTTAATATCTACTGGCAATTTAAAAATATAGGTACATATATAAGACACAGCAAGTATAGGTAACACATACTTCTGTCTTATATTGGATTCTATATTCTCTTACAGTAGAGAAGCATTTGTACTTTGACAGAAACAGTTAGGAAGGACATAAGTTAAGCACACACATTATGGTGTTTCCACTATTTTACCATCACAGATTCATAAGTTCTTTACAGAAAATTCTTATTAATCAGGAAATAAAACCAAGAATTTGAAGAGAAGTCTGACACTACAGTTTATAATTCTCTATCAGGAGAGGAAGTGGACAGATAAATTGTTGTTATAGTGACTCACATCAGTTTTCCAGTTTTATTTCATTGTTGCAACCCAGTTCTTGAAAGTGTGTTTTGAACAAGAAATAGCCAGCACCACACAATGCTTTTTGCTCCCATATGTCACATTTTGGTTAGTGAGCTTCGTATTGTGATAATTATTCCTACTTAGAATACCAATATATTTGTGTATGCTATTTATACTTCATTTTCATTGCCACTTACAAAGACTGGTCCTGTGAAGATGAAGGAATGGGTAGTTAACAAAGTGAAGCAACACAATAAAGACCTCATGCAGTATTTAAGATAATTGGATGTTTGGAGTTGTTGCTTCCCTTTTGACCAGTTTTCCCATTATGATTATCCTAATGTAGCTAGTAGAGTGATGCTGCCCACAGACTAGGAAAAACTGCAGAGCTTATTATTTTTTTAATTTAAAGGTGAAGTTAAAACTCATGAAAAATGTGTTAACAATGTAAAGCTTAACTTCTAAGCAAAGATAAGCATACACTGGCAATTGACGGAAAGCAATTATGATTTCATAAAACTAAACCAAAGTGGTACTGCAAACTAGCATATAATGTGTAATTATAATGTCTCTAGCTCTTTTGAAGGACATCTGCAAAGTTCTAGACCAGTATATGAGAGGTAGCTTTAAAATCCCTGTCAGACAATTTTTTTTTATTGACCAGTTTTCCCCAATTTTGATGCTATCTTTTCTTGGATAAGGAAATTACATGGGATGTGTAATATTACTTATTTGGACACATATTGAGAGGGGATATGGGTTAATGGAAATAAAGGGGTCAAGAGCAGCTTGAATTCAGATACTGTCTTTGATGCTTACAAACTGTGTGATCATGGGCAAATCATTTGGCCTCAGTTTCCTCATCTGTAAAATGAACATAATAATACTGGTAGTCTCTATCCCAGAGTGGTTAATGAGGATGAAATAGAATAATGTATGTGATATTCTTTGAAAATATAAACTATTGTAAGCAAATATAAGCATAAAAGTAAGCTATTATTATTCTACAAAACTGAAATGCATCTGAGACATGTGAGCCTCCATCCAGGTAAGTTGCTTGTTATAATGCTAATATTTACCTCTTCTTAAAGAGAGACAATCAGCTTTGGGTTTCCCTGGAAACACAACAGCCTTTCAGAGGTACATGGACTGATGGCAATCTCTAGAGTTCCATTCTAGCTTGATATGAATAGAATTATTTCCAGAGATCTTTCCAGATATTGCCCTAACTCCCCAAGTGAAACTGAATATAGAGTATGGCTAAACTAGACTCCAGAGCATAGAGCAAGATTCCTGAAGGCAAGGCCTTTGGCCAATAGACTACCCACTTGCATATCACCTCGTATTCTAGTAGCTGACTTCCCACCATTTGCGATAATGATTTTCTTGAGGAACTTGATGTCAAGATTTCATATTTGCTGAAGTGTTGGCTTTTCTTGGGGAGGCATATTAGAAATGAATAATAGATTTTTCTGATATCATTGCACCAACTGTTTGTACTCCTGCTGTTATGAAACAGGTTGAAAATGTTTCCTTAATTCAATGTTTTACAGGGATTAATATGCTTTTCTGAAACTTCACAATAGCATACTTTTTATCTTTTCTGTCTCTATTAACAATAAATAAATACCAACCAAACCTTGAGATGATTATGAAGTTTTTACATTAGATATTATATGAGTTGCCACAAATGCAGATTTTGAAAGAGAAAACATGAGATCCTTATGATCCTAACAGCAAAAGCCAAGACTTTTGTCCAATATTTATGGCTCCAATTCCATTGATGTCAGTGTCTACAGCAAGGTAAGGGTAAAGGCAACTCCCAGGCAGAGATGCTGTTATATCTGATCTTCTAGAGGGGATAGTAACAGAGAAATGATTGAAATTTGAGGGTTCTCTTCTACTGTGTGTAGTCCTATTTTTTTATGTTCTGTGAGCTTTTGGGTGAGGCAGGCTTAATCCAGTGTTTCCTCTTTACCATCTGTGAAATGAAGAATGTGATAATGTCCCAACCTTGGAGTGGATTGGACAGTAAGCTCATGGACTGGTTATGTCTGACTGCTTGCACAATTTTGCAGTCCAAACAACCACTGAATTTAGTTATCATCCAGTGACACATTGGACAAGGAGACATAGTTCTTTGCTGATTAGCTTGATTCAGATGTTATATAAGGTCAGAAAGATTCATTCTTGGAACTATTCTACTCATAGATGTGAAGGCATAGCCAATCCCAAAGTAAAATGATTAGAAATTTCTCAAAGAAACTGTGACAGTCAGAACTGGCCACTTTAGCCTTCCTGGAACTAGATGAGATGGGTGTTTTCTAGAAGTGCTCAGTGTACTTTTTTCCAGGCCTTATGTTCTAGATAAGGAGTTAACCACCTTAGCACAGCTTTAGAC